ATTCTTTTAATATGATCTTGAGATTGATCTTTAATCTGTTTCATCAAATTTGCATCCTGTAAGGTAATGCCAGTATTTTTGTAAGTATTGTTGGGAGTGGAGAAGACAGAATGCGTAAAATATATGCTTTTTGTCTCCCGAACTCTAATGGTTCTCCTGGCAGTTCTATAGTCCATTTTGTTAAGTCTTCTTTTTTATCCTCAGGTTTATTTTGACATTCTGATGAATAAAGTATCTTTTCCATTTTTATTGTTATGTCCAAGTTTTGCAGGGTTTTTTTCCTGTTTGTGCTGAATTATAATTCTCTTCATTTGTAGCTTCGCTGATTGAGTCATTTTCTTCTAGTTTATGTTCTGTTATCAGATTTGTTTGTTCATTCTTTACCATTATTTTCTGAGTGTTTTTTTATTGTGGATTTAAATTAGAGATGTGCTCATTTATGTCATCAAAGTTGTTTTTGATTTCCTTGTGGTTTAAAGCTATTGTCATTTGTACCTGTCATAGCATTACATACATTTCCTCTTGGAAAGTATTTGTCTTGTCTTGAAATGTTACTTCTGGAGGTCTTTGATATTCCAGATTAGATCCTTTAGGAGTAAGTATTAAATGTGGTTTTCTGTCACTATCCAATATCCATGTTGTCTCCCCCTTTCAAGTAGTCCTTCATCAGTGCCATAGTCTCTATAAGCCTTATCAAACCAGCCAAACTCAGAATCCAAACAGCCCAATTTTGTATAGTTCTTATCTTTATATATAGTTTTTATAATCCACTGTATTTCCAATTGTCATCAGTAAAATCAGTATTTTATAACAGTTCTTTTATTCAGGGGCCAGTTGTCAACCAGTCAAAATTGCAGTTCAGTATATTTAGTCACCTTGAGTCCTTCCTGTAAATTCCCCCCTAAAAGATTAGCCCAGAGTCAAAGCTTTTCTTTTTCTGTAAACAATTCTTGAGTTTAGACAACAGTCAGAGTATTTCTTTTCCTTCAGTCACTTTTTAATCTTATGGCCCAGCTGTCTTATGAGGATTATTAAAGTTTCAGGAAACAGATTATTCTTTGTTTCTGGGCATCTTGCCAATTTCTGAATCAGTGTTGTTAATGTTCAATGCTCTAGTTCTCCACTAGGTGTCAGTAGTTGTTTATTTTCCAGCTTTTTCAGACAAAAATTATTATTATTTATTATTATTTTTATAGTTTCATCAAAACCCTTTAAGGTATAATCTTAGCAGTTATTTTTTAATTTCTAGATTTATCCAGAATGTAGTATTTTAACTTTGATTTCAATATATTCCCCCCTTTAAAGGTTAATTCGCCACTTCCTTCTATGAGGGAGTAGGGGTGTAGTCCCTTCACTTTTGGAGATTTTCCTACTTTGGGAATCTTTCCCAAGGACTTAGTTACAGAGTAGAGGAGGGAAGATTGACACTCTCACCAGTTCCAAAGCACACTGTTCACCGTTGTTCTGGTTCGTGCTCTTGGACTTTGGCTGCAAGTAGCTTGCGCTAGGCACTGGTGTGCAGCTAGCCTATCTCCTGTCAGGTTAGAGGGCTTTCCCTGGATCGAACAGAACAACCGCCATCGTTCCATGATCATCGGGGCACCCCTCTTTCTTCGTCGCCTCTCCAGGGCAACTTCAAACCCATTCAGGGACTCCTGGCAGGGTGAAATCAGCGGTGGGGTGCAGAGCTCCGCAATCCCGTGGCTGCACAAAAACCAGAAATCCTGGAGCACCCACAATTTCTGAAGATAAGCTACTCCATTGGTTGATTGCTCTTATCATTAGGAAATTTCTCCTTAGTTCTAGGTTGCTTCTCTCCTTGGTTAGTTTCCAACCATTGTTTCTTGTCTTGTCTTTTTAATATATCTTGTTAATATCTCTTGTTAATATCTTCTTCCTTATTAATATATTCTTGGTCTGATTGTATAGCATTCTGTCTCTATTCCTGTAGGTTTCCTCTTTGGCACAACGTAGCTGCTTGAGCTTAGCTGTGAACCAAAGTTTATTATTATTGTATATGCACAAACTTGGTCAGCACACACACATTCTCACAAAAATTAACATATGATGTCACAGTAGCAGTGAGTTCATCCAAGTCTGCTGAAGCAGCTTCAGGGCAAACCTGTAACTCCAACTTTGCCTCCTCAGTCCAAGACTTCACTGTTCTGACCACAGGTTTTGCAATTTTAAATTTCTGTCTATAAACGGGTACAAGATGAACCAAACAATGATCAGTGGCCCACAGTTGCTCTTGATAAAAAATCAATAAGCATCTTTTAATATGGTGCAGCAGTGGTCTAAAATATTTTTTGCCTCTAGTGAGACAGCTGACATGCTGAGTGTATCTGGGCAGCTAGTATATAGTAGGATATAGTAGACTAATAGTAGATAATGTATGAAATATGTTTTCGAGTGGATGTATTTTAGATGGGCTTTTGTCAGGAATATAAGCATCTCTCTTTGAGCTAAGTTTTTTTATCCCTGCATTTGACTGGAGGAGTCATCCCAATATAAGTTGGCCATATATCTTTAAGTATTTGTAGCAAGAGAATATAAGCATCATTCTGCAAAGAGCATTATCTTAGTGTAAACTTTTCTTCATTGCTAATCTGTTTTAGTAAAGAGTCTTATGTTCCTTATTTGCATTTATGTATATGTCTTGTTAAATATATCAACCTTCAACAAAAATATATCTCACACCTATTTTCTAAGCTGAATGTTTTGGCCAAAATTATAGTTAATGGGTAGTTAGTAGAAAAAAATATTTAAAATAATTTCTAGAGTACCAATCTTTCAAAAATCTAACACACAAATCCACAAACTACAAAAAGATAAAACTTCCACCTTGTGCTAATATGTTCAGCTTCACACTTGCTCCAACAGTATACACAAAGAAATGAGAAGAAAATTCTTCCAATTCAGGAACCATAGAAAGATATGATTCAACAAGTACAACCATAATTCAGTTCATTCAAAAATCACCTAAGCAGGATAACATTTAAGCAAATTACAAAAGAATTTTTTAGACCTTGGCAAGAGGGACTACAGTTCATTACAATTGGTAATACCTGAGCATTTGTTTATTTCTCTCAGGATGTGAAAAACTGCAGAAGAGAGACTATGCTAAGAAAATAGAACATATGCTATTTATAGAACACAGACTAAAATGTAGAATGTAGGCTGGAGATTCTAAAGGAAAACTGACAGGGTATACTGTAGGAAATTTATACCAAACTATCTCACTTTTAGCTATGAAGAGTATGCTATGGGTAGAAATTCCAAAAGATATAGTGACACATGATGGCAGAAGTTATGAGGTATAAATTCTTCTCTTCCTTTATGGAGACTAACTGGATCACATGCAACTTAAGAAATATTATCTACCATATTTAATTTTGACTGATGTGTGCATCTTTTTTTTTAAGATTTCCAGATAATGGCAGTCTTTGTTCATGTATTGATCATGTAGCGGGGACTGCCTGAGAGTGCTTGCAGGAGCTTGACTGGGAAGGGGAAGATTGGGACAGCTGCAGTTGGCTTGGGTGTGGCTGGCGTGAGTGGAAGGAGGAAGGATAGAAAAAGGGAAGAAAAGGAGAAGGCCGGGGTGGTTGGAGTTGAGAAGAGAAGGTCTGGAAGCTTATTTTATTTTTCTATCAAGGGTA